TTTGATAATTTCAAAGTATTACAGTATCTTTAGGTTTATGTTTTCGTATGTGAACATATTCACCCTATAGTACCGTCAATGTGATAATAATTTGTTTCCTCTTATCTTTCGACAACAACACAGCAAGAGAAGTTATATTTGTCCCAGACAACATTACAAGAAAACCAAACTAATCTGTAATGCCTGCAATCAGATTCTGTGCGAATAATATACGAAGCGAATGCACAATCAATGTCAACAATAACATTTTCCAAAGAGGTTGAATTAACCTAAGAGGTCATCCATAAATGACGCCATACTCGTAGGGGGGAGGGGGTCCGTAATTCTATGACGATGTGTAATGAGGGGGAGGGGGGGTCCAGATGTTGCGACGTCACACTTTTGCATTATAAAAAGCAATGTAAGAAAACGAATTTTAGCCGTTATTTCGCTTTTTATGAACTGTTTTAAAACATTGTAAAAAGAATTGATTAAAATACTCTATTTTGACAGAGTTCAGACAAGATTTTAGAAAAATATCGATGTTTTAAAAACAATTCAACTGCAATTTTTAGGGTGGTTGTAGGCTGAGATGTGACGTCATTTTAGGGGAGGGGGTCTGGCTTTGTGTGATGACGTGTGACGGAGGGGAAAGAGGAGGTAAAAATCGTCAAAAAAACGTGACGTCATTAATAGATGACCCCTAAAAACTCACCCCTAAAATTTTTTAACGTTCTTCACACATTTATTAAGTCATATATTAAGTCAAGGAAAACGAAATATTATAATAAGATGCAAGTGTTCTGGTCTTTCATCTTGGGGTCACCATAGATCTTGTGATTTTGTAATGTGCATTATAGTTCAAGCATTATCAAAAAATGTATATTTTATATCAGGCCGCGGTCAGTTCAAGTTATCGGTCACTTAAGACTCGATTATTGTTATCGCTAGTTAACACGTTACATCACGTTTTAATAAGCCACTTTGTCGTGTACGTGTACGTGTACGTGTACGTGTACGTGTACGTGTACGTGTACGTGTACGTGTACGTGTACGTGTACGTGTACGTGTACGTGTACGTGTACGTGTACGTGTACGTGCGGGAAGAGAAAGTTTATATGATGCTTGATTTAAAATAAAGTCACGGTCACAACGCCCAGTGTAAAGCCTGGTCGGGATGGCTTGTAGTAAAATATAATACACACTAAACTACACAGTACTATCGTAAAATACACACGAAACTTTGAACTTCTTATCAGGCTGTTTAATGAAAATGTAACTGTTATCAACTACAGATACATTTTTATCTAACTCTAACTGCTCCTTTTTAAAGTGTTGTCAGTGCAGCTGTGTTAATACATTTATGTATCTTAATTGTCCATATAGGCTGTTGAACAGCCTAAGACATTTTTTTTTGATAGACGGCTTGAAATGTGATTAAAATGATTATGACTTTTACTTATTATTAGAGAGAGCAAATGTTTCAAATATTTAATAAGAGACAATGTTAATTAATGCTAGCAAATGGTGATTCAGATTAAGTTTTCCCATTTGGTGATTAGCGAGCTAGTGATCTGCTTTCGAGAGAGGGGAGGGTGGAGTCAACAACCTATAACAAAAAAGCAACAAAAAAAACGGGATTTACTAACTCAACTAGTGATGGAACAGATAAACCGTAAGCGTCGTTCTCAGCGAAGAGCCTATAAACTATCAAAGCTTTTGAATAAGGTGTAATTTCAATATATTTATTACATTAACGTTTAAACATAATTTTAAATACTAATACTAAAAATCATTTACGATTTTTAATTGCCTAATTTAAAAGGTATGATAATTGTATAGGGATGAAAATTGGATTTAAGAAAAATTGTTCGTTACCCGAAACCGTTTGTGAATATCTATTTGGGATAGTTGATACAAGGCAATTTTAATGTACGAATGTTATAGATATTTGGCAGACATATATGTACTAGCTGCATCCCGTGCTCCGCCACGGTAAATCTTTTTTAAATGTACCAACTTGGGAACAGAACAAAACTAAACACAACACAAACGAACGCAAAAAAAAAAAACGAAAAAACAAACACAACACTCATAACATAGACACAATTTAAATGCAATCATACAGGCATATTGCTCACAGTCTAGCCCGTAGCGCCAAATCGCGCCCTTTCCGGTGATTTGCACCCCCACCCCCTTAAACTTTCGATTTGCACCCCTTCCCCCCCCCCCTCCCTAAAACTTTCGATTTCCACCCCCCCCCCCTCGCACATTTTTTCCAACCCACTTTGGCGCCCCCTAAGGTCGGCACCCGGGGACATATGCCCTCCCCCCCCCCCCTCGCTACGCCTCTCCTATAAAACCCGAAAGATAGAATAATAATTAGAAAACAGTATAAATAATAGGCAGTATTTAAAATATCCGTGTTTTACCTACAATATTTCACTTTATCCATTCACGCATTTTTTTCCAGTACTTTAAATTTTAAAAAATTACAATAGAGTTTCATAACTAAAACCATTGCGCACCTAATGAACATGATGACGCGTCTATAATAGAGCTGAATAGTTGATTAAAAATTATAAGTAATAAACAGTAGGGCCTACATTCAGTGAATAAAATAAATAAAAGATTGCCTTTTATCAATCCATGCTAATTATAATTTTCTAACAATAATTTCCTCTTACACATCCGAATAATTTGCATTCACATTTTGCTAATTATATTATGGCAACACTAATTCCTTCTATGACGAACGTATATTTGCATTTACATTTTTTATTAGCGTGAGTTTAATGTATTTTTAAATTACCTCCTTTGTGAAAATTAGAAAAGAGTTAAATTAATTTTGATTTTTCTACCGTACTGTTATTATGTTATTAAAATGTATCCACTTTTTCTAGGAACCTAAACGAAAATGATATTTGACATTAATCTTTTTAGCAGTTTGCGTGTATTTAATATTTTCTTGACGTTATGCGAAAGAGTAAAAACCGTGGCAATTATAAAATAGCTCTATGCCGCTATATAAACAAACCCTACTCTAATACTTATAATAAGACACTGCGGTGCACTGAAAAGCACAGCATGGTGCGAATGTTTACTTTTATGGTTCCAAAATCTATAGCGATGACGGAAGGAAGGACTGACACACTACCAGCAGCGTTATATTATAGATGTTAGCCATGAGGATTGTTTTATATATTATAATTACAAAATTGGTGTCAACATAGAATAGATCGATTTTGAGAAAAAGAAGATTGATGCATGTGTAATTGACAGAAGTAAGAGTGACAAGAAAATATGTCTAACTTAAGGCCGACTTCTCGACAAAAGGCGACATACTATTTTTTGCGCGTAGCATATGAGCATTATTACATTTATCCTAATGCTGTCGGTTGTTGTGTATTGCGTACTGGTCAAAGTTTAAATTTATGCCTTCGTACTTTCTTGATTCAAGCGCATCAAATATTGTTTTGAATAGGCATACTTAAATTAAGTCTGCTTCTACTGATTATTATTACTAAGTAGTTGGTCCGTTTTTACTCGACAAAATACTAATGGCTTTTCTATTCACTCTTTTATGTGTATAGACAGAATAAAAAGAATGAGAGTAGGAAGTTATCTTCTGATTAACCTTTGCCGCGTTTTTAAGACATCAGGCAACAAGAAATACAATTGTACTTGTGTGCCAAGTGGGTATAGCTGAATGGGATGCTTCTCCCAGGTGTAGTTTCTTCAAATATGAAGTATTGTAAAGTATTGTAAAATCAAAATTAAATAAATAAATAAATATATATATATATATATATATATATATATATATATATATATATATATATATATAGATAGATAGATAGATATATATATATATATATATATATATATATATATATATATATATATATATATATAAATGCTATATAAACTTGTAAGTATGTTTATTCGCATGCATATTTGTATTTACATATATCTATTTTACGTATTTAAATGGTTTTGAAGCTACGCATTTTGGGCTTAACTACGTCTTCTTTTTTCTATGTATAGGAAATGAAAAACATAGCGACCAAATACTTTTTACAACTTTTCTATCCGCTAGAAGTTCTTTACCTCGTATGGATATACTAAACTTATAATCAAATTATTATAATTTTACACATTTCTTTGCATAATATGCACAATTTCAAGACCAAAATGATTTAAGAAGTGAATAGTTTTAAATGTTTGATAACTCTTTTCATAGCTGACGAAAAGCGTCAAAATGTGTCAATGTTGTAAGCCAACCATTTCTATTTATCTGTTGCTCGCTTTATTTATTGCTATTGATATGTAGATTTGTAAATTTCTAAGGTGGTTTCTTCCTGATCCACTTGTGTATTTGGTGTCACCCCTCACCCTCTACCTTTTTGTTGTGTGGCGTCAACTTACATTAATCCACCTAGAAATAGCATAATAATTCAATTGGAAAAATCATTACCTTTGTAGAAAATGTTTACATTTGGTGTCACCTCAACCAATTGTCGGTTGACATATCAGTTATTACAATTCTCAACGATAGCTTTTTGCTCGGGCAAATATCACAACGCTTGATTGATTTCACCCACTCTCTCCCGTGATAGCTTTAAACTGCACAGATGATACTATAATAGGTTATTAACACGGCTAGATGTGGCATTGTTCTCTCTATCGACAGCAAGTTTACGTCAAGGTTAAAAAAAAAAAGCTTAAATTCAGTGTCAGTATGATGACAGAAAAACAACACAAAGAATTGTTTACGCGATTTGAACATAATTCAGGCTTTAAGGAGATAAAAATGAAAAATATGTGTGTTGAGCTAGGTTTGATTATCATCAAAAACCACCAAAGAAACAAACACCTACAATACGTTTATCATCACATGTGATAACGTATCTTTTGACAATGACTACATGTGTGTTGGCTATCTCGTTATTCTAATCACCACAAAATGTTTATTATCAAATAGTAAGCATAGTGTTTATGTGCAATAAAAATTACAGTAAATGTAACGGTGCAGAATGAAAGGATTGACGGTTACCTGTCTGGCTTGATAACATGACAGGAGTTCGCCAGAGCTTGGTAAGAAAGTTTATTTTCCTATTCAAGTTACTTTTTAACAAAATAACATGATAAGTTCTCAAGTACACTATTAAATCTTGTCAAAATGAGTGCGCCTACTATTTCGTCAGTAAAGAGCTAATTTGTCTTTTAAGATATATCGTTCAAAAATATTTAGAAATAAAAATTAAAAAATGATATCAGGACATTACCCTCACCCACCCCGGACATTTTTAACCCCCCCCCCTCCGACATTTCCGCCTCGTATTTACCTCATGGAGCAATAATCACCCCTGTCAATTACCCCCCCCCCCCCCCACCACCACAAAGATAGAATCCTGATTCTAACTCCGAATCTTCATCAATATATTAACTTAATCCAATCTTAAGACCCTAGCCCTAACCCCAACCCCAACCCCAACCCTAGCCCTAGCCCTAGCCCTAGACCTAGCCCTAGCCCTAGCCCTAGCCCTAGCCCTAGCCCTAGCCCTAGCCCTAGCCCTAGCCCTAGCCCTAGCCCTAGCCCTAGCCCTAGCCCTAGCCCTAGCCCTAGCCCTAGCCCTAGCCCTAGCCCTAGCCCTAGCCCTAGCCCTAGCCCTAGCCCTAGCCCTAGCCCTAGCCCTAGCCCTAGCCCTAGCCCTAGCCCTAGCCCTAGCCCTAGCCCTAGCCCTAGCCCAACCCTAACCCTAACCCTAGCCTTAACACTTGCTGAATCTTACGCTATGACAGTGGGGGTGGTAATGTCTTACTGGGTGGGGGTAATTGACAAAGGGGGGGGGGGGTAATTGACAGGGGTAATGATGGGGGAATGTCCGGGGGTAATTGACGGGGGGGGGCGGTAACTCCCTGTTCCCAACGTAGACAGTAGCAGACATAAAATAAAGACGGGCAAGGCAAGAGCAATCTCCAACAAACTAAAAAATGTTTGGGGTTCTGGAGATTTAACCCTTGGAATAAAAATCCGAATTTTCAACACACTATTAAAACCTGTTTTACTCTATGAAGCTGGAATCCACAGGGCAGGGGGAGGAGAGGCAGACCAAGAAAGACCTGGAGACGTGACCTGGAAAAAACACACCAAGAATATTGGATACACCTGGGAACAGTTGGAGAGACTAGCCCAGGACAGAGATGCCTGGAAATCTCTTGTCGGCGGCATATGTCCCAGGAGGGACGACAGGCAAACCTAACCGCTAATATTCAGCGGTAATACTGCAACAGGCGCAGCCGCCGGCGACCCGGCGATTGCGTGACCCGAAGCGCCCCGGTCTCCCCTGTTGGTACTATTTCGCCTATATTTGTTTAAAAACAAAGCCTATACATTCAGTGGGGGAACTAGAAAAAAGGGTCACCGTTTTCAAGAGATTCAATGTGCCTAGAAATCTCCTCTTTCGAATATTTATTTATCTCACTCAGAATCATCTTTCAAATAATCAAAAACACGTTTCACAGCATTTCGTTTGACAGCCAGTGTACTGTAGTGTAAAAAACGCTCTTTAAGCACACGGATGTTTAGGGCTCCAGATTTAATATAATTTATGAATTTTATTAGCAATGGAGTCGGAAGAGTCTTGCTGGCGATTGGCTTGCCGATTAATAATGCTGTGGATTCCCCATGATTAGGCAATTCTATTTTTTGCTTATTTTCTAAAATCTGGATTCATCAACTCCCTAAAGTTTAATGCCGCCCGGGTAAACAGTGTCGAACCGCAATCTTCATTTATTTTAATATATCGTATTTAGAGAAAAAACAAATCGCGCCCTGCCGGGGCGCCACCCCTGCGAAATTAAAAATGATTTTTTTACAGATACCTTTCCCTAGAGCTTTATAATGAGCTGCCTAAAGTTTCATGCCTATCGGATAACGCTGTCAAATCGAAATCGACTTTTATTTTTATATACTCTATATAGAAAAAAAATCGCACCCTCCCGTGGCGCCGCCCTTGCGAAATTAAAACAAAGATTTTTTTTAAAGAACCCTTCCCCAGAATGTTCTATTCAACTCCCCAAAATCTCATGGCTATCGGATGAATGGTGTCAAACCAAAATCCACTTTTTGTTTTAATATACGTACATAGAAAAAAAAATAGCACCCTTCGTTTTCCAATAAACTCACCAAAGTTCGAAAAATCGCAATCGGCTGCTATTTTTTATATACCGCATATAGAGAAAAAACAAACTGTGTCCTGCCGCAGAAATATTCTCGGGAGTATTCTCATCTACTTCCTAAAGTTTCATCGTACTCGGATGAACCGCATCCGAGTTTTATTTTTTATATACCGTATATAGAGAAAAAAAAATCGCTCCCCCCCCCGGTGGTGCGCCACCCTTGCAATATTAAACAATATTTTTTACAGAACCCTACCATTAAGTGATCTAATCATCTCCCCAAAGTTTCATGGTACACGGATGAACGGTGTGAAAACGAAAAAAAAAAACAACGAAATTTTATAAACCGTATATAGAGAAAAATCGCAGCCGCCCGTGGCGCCGCCCTTGCGAAATTAATAAAGGTTTCTTTTTTTACATAACCCTTCCCTGAATTGTTCTAATCAACTCCCCCAAAGTCTCATGGCTATTGGATAACGGTGTCACACCAAAATCGACTTTTTTATAAACCGTATATAGAGAAAAATCGCACCCTCCCGTGGCGCCGCCCTTGCGAAATTAAAAATGATTTTTTGCAGAACCCTTCCCTAAATAAAATCACCAAAGTTTCATGCCTATTGGATTAACGGTGCCAAACCGTTTTATTTTTATATACCGTACATAGAGAAAAATCGCACCCTCCGGTGGCGCCGCCCTTGCGAGATTAAAATTTTTTTTTTTACAGAAACCTTCCTTAGAGTGTTATTATGAATTCCCCAAAGTCTCATGTCTATTAGATGAACGATGTCAAACAAAAATCGACTTTTTATTTTTATATACCTTATATAGAGAAAAAAATCGCGCCCTGCCGGGGCGCCACCCCTGCGAATTTGATTTTTTTTTTCGCAGAAACCTCCCCAGGAATATTCTTAACAACTTCCCAAAGTTTCACGGCGATGTGATGAGAGGTGTAGTAATGCATAAAGGACAAACACACAGACACACAGAAACACAGACACACAGACACACAGACATTGCTTTATATATATATATATATATATATATATATATATATATATATATATATATAGTTAGATTTTAATCAAGTGTCTACCCTTGCCCCGACATGGTGGTACGATGGATGAAAATCGGATTGTTGCGTTGGGAAATTTGTGAGTGATACATCTCACTATTTCTAGCATATTAGCTATTGACAGTCTGACGTTTGATAGATTGTCGTTGACTCCACAATATAAGGTTAATGTTGTGGTGCTAGAGTCACGTAAGCGGCTACTAATAACGTCCCTAATTTTTTTTTAAAATTTGCCCCAGCCAGCGCTATTTCCGGTACACGCTCGAAATGATCCGTGGCCATTATATTAGGGTGGAGACATTTAAGTGTAGAGTCACCAATGATCAAATGGTGTTTTGTTGTTTAGTTGGTGTTTGGGGTGGCGACACGTTTTTAGTGAAGTAATGAGTACAGCGTTCGACCACTAGGTCATCGATGGCCTAGACCGATAGAACGCTGCATTGTGTATCTTATACATCATGTACTTTTAGCGCGTTGTCGTTGCAGGGTGTGGGGACTCAACTGTTCCGTCGGTTTGAATAAACGCGCTATGTGTTCTCGTTTTGTTATTTTAACAGGGATAGAGAATGCAGATTCTTGTAGTATGCTTGCCGATGGTAATTTTGTTTCATTTATTAGTTGTTGATTATCGTCACATGTGAGGTGGATATAGTGCTGCAAGAGGGCTTCTAGGTTGTGATTTGTTTTCGTAGTGACTCAGAAATACTGTCTTGATAAATCGCACGCTTCTTAACGTTGACGTGTTTATCTTTGTAACTATGTACTTCATAAGACTGATAGTCTCTTGACTTCGTCCCTTAAGAAAGCATTTTCGACTCGGAGTTGTTCTAGTTGGCTGTTAAACTGCATATTTTCGGCTTTAACGGCTTTTTTAACACTGGTGATTTCATTCAAAATAAAGGATCTTAAGCTATTTTCCAATTGTGTGGTTTGATGAAAGGATTTATTAGGTTTTTTGGACTACTATTCAAATCAGTTGGCTGAGTTAGGTTTGAAGAAAATTTATTGTTATAAAGAGGTGTTACACAATCTAACGATTTGGCAATGATCGTAACCTCCGCATATTTGTTTGTTACTGTTGGAAGCGGACATAAACAAGGGCGGTGAAATGGGTGGCTCCAATTCTCTGGGCGGGTACATTGAAGGTGGTTATGACAGTGATAGTGGCGGAGACATGGATAGCTTTGTCGGTTGTAATAAGATTATTTAAAATATTGCCAAATTCAGTATCCACTCAAACATGACACAATGTTAGATTTACCCTGTGCCATGAGTTTGTTATTAGTGTGGTAAAGATGGGCAGTCAGCCTCGATATTTTATAAATATCTTCTACATTGGCGCCATCTTCATCCCTTCTTTCCTCGACAGAATCAGCTTATTTTGTTTTTATTTTTTTCTTAGCTAATTGAGTTTTTGAAAGCTATAACAACGCATCGCCCTCTATCTTTCTTTAAAATATGAATATTATCCGCTGAATAGATGTTAGCAATTTTTTTCATATGGCTTTTTCTTTGTTTAAACAATACTTTTTAGCTCTGCTGCTCCTGGTAACTACACCAGTTCCTAACATTTTCACCCACCAGTAAAATTAGTATCTCATGTTGACATCAATAGAAATAATAGAAATAGAAACACGAATTATCAGTTCAAGTAATAATCTCTCCTTCTTCTTCTTCGTTCTTAATTATTAGTGTTGAAGGGGATCGAGATTTATCTGCCACTGGGTTTGAACTCGAAACTTTGTTCGAATTTATCAAACATGAGCTTTTTGCCGACTCGACCACGCCTCCAACACAGTTAAGCGTTACCTGTCAACTGGTTATGCGCCATTGAGGCCATTGACTCCGATTTCAGCCTGCTTTTCTTTTTAGATTTGCTTCCATAGCCTTTGTCCAACCAAGAACAAACTACAAGGCAGCAGTTGTTTAATTTTGGAGTTGTCTCTCCTAGAAGAGTGGCTGTCCCCAGCTAACGAGCCTCATCTGCCCGAGGGTTCGAACTCGAGACTTTTCGGTTTAGCAACCATGAGCTTTACCTACTCGACCACGCCGACACCTCAAGTACTAATAATATAGTTATCCGGTATACATGTTAACAATGGATGAGACCATTTGAATCTATTAACATAAAATATCGTAGTATACACCGGTTTGTAATTTAGAACTAAACTACAAACTCAATCCTGTTGGACGAGTGATACTTCTCTTAGAATTATTTAGTTTTTAAATTAAATGAAAAGCACTTAAAACTATGAAAGAAAGTCAACAACAAGTCCAGAAGTGCTTGGTATACGTTAATCAAGTGTCCTGCATAGCGGTCAAGAAATACTACCATATTCAGTGCTAAACCTTCAACAAAAAGCGGCCCGGGCTCACATGTGAGCACTAAGGCGCCTACTTTCGTTTTTAAAAAAAGGCAATACATTAAAGACACGATGGGCAACAATAATCGTTGACTTTATTGAATAATTCTCGTCCTTCGGCGCCTTGGCAGGGGGCGATTTAGCGCCCCGGCTTATCAGTGAAAACCATAGCGCCTACGCTCGTTTTAAAAAAAAAACACGATAGTCTATGGATAAAATAGGGTGTCAAAGTTGTTTAATAAAATGAATAAGGCGAGTTCCCCAGCGCCCCGGGTGCAATTTAACGCCCCGGGTAACCCCATGAGCAATACGACGCCTATGCCCGTTTTAAACATTGCAAAAGACTATGCATATTTTTGGGTTTCAGGGTCGTTCACTAAACATAATCAGGCGCGTCCGCGTCGCCCCGGCATTGTGCGATATGGCGCCACGGGCGTTTTTTTGGCCCCACAAATATGATCCAAAAGCAGGCATTTTTTACATCTTAAAAAGAAACATCAATTTTAGAAAAAAAACAAGGTCACTCGTCTGAAAATATAGGATAGGTAAAGTATTTATTAAAGCCTCCTAATATATTTTGTCATATTTTATTTGTCTTTTATGTTTTGCTGCACCTTTTATCTGATCCCCATAAAACCTTAGAAAATTGTTGAAAATACTCCTTGGGAGTTTTATGTGAAAAAAAATTCAATTTTGCACCGGCAGCGAACCGGTTGGAATTTGGCACCCCAGCTTATGCCATGAAAGCTATGGCGCCTACGTTACTATTAAACAGTGCGATTGGTTATGAATATGATTGGGCGTTTAGTCGTTTACTAATATGAGTCAGGCACATTCGCTGGTGCCTAACAAGGTGCAACCTGAGGCTTTATGCTTTATCCCGGTAGCGCTATGGCGCATATGTTTATTTTAAAGATCGCGATAGAATATGAATAAGGTGTAGTCTTACAGTATTTCATTAACGGGATCAGGCGCGTCCTTCGACGCCCTTAAACGGTGCGATTTACCCCGGGGTATGATGGGGGAAATGTTTTCGTTGCTATATGAACATATTAGATTACTACTGATATAACAAACACTCTAATTATATTACTATATACATGTGATGAGAACGGGAACACTCTTATTTTCCCACGACACTAAGATAACGATATCAACAACTTCGATCATAAAGTATAATTTACTTTATTATCACATACTAATATTGCACAATATAAAAACACTTCATTTTCCTACAATGGCTAACCCCCAACTGTCTTCTCTCTTGCGTCTTACGTCATCGATAACATTGTCGCGGCACGCTCACGTCAAACTAACGCCACACATATTTTATTAAACACACGCACTTACCCTCAAGTCAAATCAAATCGTCTACCGTCCATTTTACACCGTCCTTATTAATCCATACCAGTCTATTCTTATTCTATCTATCTACGCTATGACATTGGGACTTTCTTCTATCTCCGCGGCAACGCGCGGGGCGGGCGTGCTAGTCTACATTGTCACGCCGTCTAATTAAATTTTGAGAGTGGATTGCTCTGGAACCTGAGTTCAATACGTATCAATAGTTAAGAAATTTTGTATCATATTATTTTAAACACAACTTGCCTGTAGTATAACTTAAATAGAATTGTCCATATGAAACATTTTTAGTTTAAATGGCTGCCTTCTGTGTAATGATTAAATTTCCTGTCTACTAATTTTAGTGTGAGAATTGTGCTGTATTTCTTTCACCATTTTCTGATTTTCTTCAACAATGTTTTTAATACATTATTTTAATTTTATTTATATTTCAGTTGATGCTATGTTTTCAGCTTTCGTGAATTGGTTTTCAAGATTTTCATGGAGTTGAAGAAATATATAATTGGTCTGAGCATGAAACGCAAATTTGAACACCATCCGTGCGACATTTATTGATGCAAAAGTAACCAAAAGGCGTATGTACATTCTACATTGTATAAAAATGGTCAATGCGTTCAAGAAAATGGAATTTAATGCCTTAACTATTGCGTCTCAAAATGGCGACGAAAAGGAGGTAGATATTCTTATAAAAGCAGGAACAGACATAAATTATGTGGAAGATGATGGATGGAATGCCTTAATGGTTGCATCTGAAAATGGACACGACAAGGTTGTAGATATTCTTATTAAAGCAGGAGCAGACATAAACTATGTAAAACAAAATGGATATAATGCCTTAATGATTGCATCTCAAAATGGACACAACAAGGTGGTAGATATTCTTATTAAAGCAGGAGCAGACATAAATCACGTGGAAGATGATGGATTGAATGCTTTAATGATTGCATCTCAAAATGGACATGACAAGACTATAGAAATTCTTATTAAAGTAGGAGCAGACATAAAATATGTAAAACAAAATGGATCTGATGCCTTAATGATTGCATCTCAAAATGGACACGACAAGGTGGTAGATATTCTTATTAAAGAAGGAGCAGACGTAAATCACGTGAAAGATGATGGATGGAATGCCTTAATGTTTTCATCTCAAAATGGACACAACAAGGTGGTAGATAGTCTTATTAAAGCAGGAGCAAACATAAACTGTGTAAAACAAAATGAATATAATGCCTTAACGATAGCATCTCAAAACGGACACGACAATGTGGTAGATATTCTTATTAAAGCAGGAGCTGACTTAAATCATGTGGACGATTATGGATTGAATGCCTTAATGATTGCATCTCAAAATGGACACGACAAGGTGGTAGATATTCTTACTAAAGCAAGAGCTGACTTAAATCATCTGGAGAATAATGGATTTAATGCCTTAATGATTGCATCTCAAAATGGACATGACAAGGTGGTAGATATTTTTATTAAAGCAGGAGCAGACTTAAATCATGTGAGAGATGATGGATTTAATGCCTTAATGACTGCATCTGAACATGGACACGACAAGGTGGTAGATATTCTTACTAAAGCAGGAGCTGACTTAAATCATGTGAGAGATGATGGATGGAATGACTTAATGATTGCATCTCAAAATGGACACGACAAGGTGGTAGATATTCTTATTAAAGCAGGAGCAGACTTAAATCATCTGGAGAATAATGGATGGAATGCCTTAATGATTGCATCTCAAAATGGACACGACAAGGTGGTAGATATTTTCATTAAAGCAGGAGCAGACTTAAATCATGTGAGAGATAATGGATTTAATGCCTTAATGATTGCATCTCAAAATGGAAACGACAAGGTGGTAGTTAATCTTATTAAAGCTGGAGCAGACATAAATCAATTACAACAAAATGGATATAATGCCTTAATGATTGCATCTGTAAAAGGACACGAGAAGGTGCTTGATATTCTTATTAAAGCTGGAACAGACATAAATCATGTGGAAAAATATGGATGTAATGCCTTAATGATTGCATCTAAAAATGGACACGATAAGGTTGTAGATATTCTTTTAAAAGCAGGAGCAGACATAAATAATGTGGCATGTAATGGATGGAATGCCCTAATGATTGCATCTCAAAATGAAAACGACAAGGTGGTAGTTAATCTTATTAAAGCTGGAGCAGACATAAATCAATTACAACAAAATGGATGTAATGCCTTAATAATTGCATCTGTAAAAGGACACGAGAAGGTGGTTGATATCCTTATTAAAGCAGGAGCTAACTTAAATCATTTGGAGAATAGTGGATGGAATGCCTTAATGATTGCATCTCAAAATGGACACGACAAGGTGGTAGATATTTTTATTAAAGCAGGAGCAGACATAAATAATGTGCAACATAATGGATGTAATGCCTTAATGATTGCATCTCAAAAAGGACACGACAAGGTGGTAGTTTATCTTATTAAAGCCGGAGCAGACATAAATAATGTGCAACATAATGGAAGTAATGCCTTAATGATTGCATCTAAAAATGGGCACGACAAGGTGGTAGATATTCTAATTGAAGCAGGATCAGACATAAATTCTTTACAAAAACATAAATGGAACGCATTAATGTTTGCATCTGTAAATGGACACGATAAGGTAGTAGATATTCTAATTGAGGCTGGAGCAGACATAAACTCTGTAAACGAAAATGGGTATAATGCGTTAATGATTGCATCTGAAGATGGACATGACAAGGTGGTAGATATTCTTGTTAAAGCAGGAGCAGACATAAATCGTGTGGGAAAATATGGATGGAATGCCTTAATAATTGCATCACGAAAAGGGCACGACAAATTGGTAAATATTCTAATTAAAGCAAAGGCAGACATAAACTATGTAAAACAAAATGGATTTAATACCTTAATGATTGCATCTCCAAATGGTCAGCACAAGATGATAGATACTATTGTTAACGGGGGAGCAGACATAAACAATGCAAATGCAATTGCTCTTGACACTTCATTTTTAGGTGATCGAAAAATCTATACTAAAGATTGCCTCAATACGTTAAGCTTAAAAACTACTCTATTGTTGGAATTAATCGATGTGTGTTTTCGAGCATTTGAAAATAAACACAAACATGTTGTTGATGCGTTATCTTCAATGCACTTTATAATTTCCGATAAAACGACTTCGACAACGTTGTTTCATTTTTTTATATCTATATTTAAAAAAGGTATTTATAATTTATCGATTTTATATATATATATATATATATATATATATATATATATATATATATATATATATATATATATATATATTCCATATATATATGCCCATATATATATATATGCCCATATATATATATATATATATTCCATATATATACATTCCATATATATATATATATATATATATATATATATATATATATATATATATATATATATTTAATTTTAATTTTATTTATGTATATAACCATAGACATGTTACTGTTCTATACATACATTCTTTTTTGTAATGTCGAATATATATATATATATATATATATATATATATATATATATATATATATATATATATATATATATATATATATATATATATATATATATATATATGTATATATATATATATATATATATATATATATATATATATATATATTTATACCTGACTTTTTTTACCATTCTTTTTATCAAGTTAATATACATTAAGATTTATTGACCTTAACATTAATAAACAATAATTTTAATTTTTCTTATTTAATTGTTGAATTATCCTTATGATTTAACTAGGCATACTGCCTAGCTTCGCTTAGGTTTTTAAAAAACATTTGAGAATTTGAATACTTAATTATTTAGCGATGGATTGGGTGTGGAGTGCTTAAATTTAAACAGTAATGCTAACTTTAGAAAAAATGTTGTTTGTTGTTTCACTTCCGTTGCCAAAAAATATTGGAAAGTGCGCAATGTATAACTAAACTGGAATTAGAACTACACAGGTTCCATGAACAGTTTATCTCATAATTTATGTTACAATGCCTTTTGAAATTAATTAATTAATTTAATTAGGATACGTAACTGAATTAACAACTTAATTTTGTACCAAAACAAATGCTATACGTCGTCATTTTCTGTTTCTTTTTAAAATAGTATACAATTATTTGAAAAATAATAATTTTGAAAACGCTACCTCCCTTGAAAACTGAACGTATGACGTATGTCTTTGTTTATTTTTTTTTTAACAAACAGTTGCTATACTTATATAAGAAATTACGGTATATGAACATATTTAACGACTATAATGGCTGTTTCCGACGGGAATAAAGTTTTTTTGTTACCCTCCAGGGTCGGTCTACGACGTCACAAAATATTAAGGGGATCGTTCGTCAATTTATTTATATATATATCTCATATAAGGAGAATTTCACTAACGATCATCTTTTAGCCCTCGTCGAGGGCTTTGAGTCTGACCAACAGTTTTTCAATACGGCCCAGTCATCTATAGTAGTGTATGCAAAAACTTAGCAAGATGTACGGACGTTAAGTTACCAAAAAAATGTGTTAAAATTTCCCTGTTTTTGCCATAAAATACAAAGATTATATAGGGAAATACAACTGATCAGTTTTGACCCCTTTACGAAGTTTTCCCAGATATGCCGAGTTTTTTGTGACACCCCAAGGTGTTCTCCTACCACCTCACAAAATTTCAAGGGGGGTCGTCGTCGGAATTTTTTTTTCGTAATATAGCCCATATAAGGCGTCGGTCAGTCGAGGTCAGTTTTGACCCCCTCTCCGTAGACTTTTTGCCGAACCGTCACCATCCTTCGTGTTCTATCGCCCCAAGGCAACTTCGTGCCAAATTTGACGCGCCTGCGGCGCCGGGAAGTGCCCTATCGGGCACCTGACCACTTTGCTTTATATATATAGACTAGGCATACTGCCTAGCTTCGCTTAGGTTTTCAAAAAAATTGAGGAATTGAATAATTAATTAATAGATGATTGGCTGCTATCTTAAATGCTTAGGGCCTAAATTTATACAGTGGAGTAATTTCATGCTGCTCAAATATTGATGGAATCTTCGAAAACTTATTACTCGCACGGTTATTAGAACTGCAAGGGGTTTCTCAATAGTATCAATCAAATATTATAATAAATTACTTTCGTAATTAATATTTACAATTTCAGTACAATGCAAAACTTAATTTATAACAAAATATTTATTTAAAATAATGCTATACTCTATGATTTTTGTTTTTTTTTCTTGAAAAGAGAATACAAATTTAAAAAAAAATTATTACATTAAAAAGTTACTTCCCCTGTTCATAGACCAAATGACCAAATCTCGTATAATGAGAATTTCACTCGCGGTCACTTTTTAGCCCTCTTCGAGGGCTTTGAGTGAAACCGACAGTTCTCCCTAAAGGTCAAGCCATTTGCCTAAGAGCATGCAAAAAAATTAGCCAGATGTCAAGACGGTAAGTGCCCTCAAATTCGTTTTGAAATCACCCTCTGTTTTTCCCATAAAATACAAAGATTATATAGGGAAATACAACTGGTCAGTTTTGACCCATTTAACGAATTTTCCCGGACATGGCGAGTTTTTTGTGACACCCCAAGGCGTTCTCCTACCACCTCACAAAATTTCAGGGGGGGTCGTCGGTGAAATTTGTTTTTCGTAATAGAGCTCATATAAAGAGAATTCCACTCGCGGTCACTTTTTAGCCCTCGTCGAGGGCTTTGAGTGAAACCGACAGTTTTCCCTAAAGGTCAAGCCATTTACCTAAGAGCATGCCGAAACTTAGCCAGATGTAAAGAGGGTAAGTGCCCTCAAATCCGTTTTGAAATGACCCTCTGTTTTACCCATAAAATACAAAGATTATATAGGGAAATACGACTGGTCAGTTTTGACCCATTTCCCGTTTTTTTTTCCGGACATGGCGAGTTTTTTATGACACCCCAAGGCGTTCTCCTACCACCTCACAAAATTTCAAGGGGGGTCGTCGTCGGAATTTTTTTTTCGTAATATAGCCCATATAAGGCGCCGGTCAGTCGAGGTCAGTTTTGACCCCCTCTCCGTAGACTTTTTGCCGAACCGTCACCATCCTTCGTGTTCTATCGCCCCAAGGCAACTTCGTGCCAAATTTGACGCGCCTGCGGCGCCGGGAAGTGCCCTATCGGGCACCTGACCACTTTGCTTTATATATATAGACTAGGCATACTGCGTAGCTTCGCTTTGGTTTTCAAAAAAATTTTTTTTCGTAATATAGCTCATATAAAGCGAATTTCAGTCGTGGTCACTTTTTAGCCCTCGTCGAGGGCTTTAAGTGAAACCGACAGGTGAGCCGTACGGCCAAGCCATTTACCTGTAAGCACGCCAAAACGTAGCCAGATGTAAAGAGGGTAAGTGCCCTAAAATCCGTTTTCAAATGGCCCTCTGTTTTCCCCATAAAATACAAAGATTATATATTGAAATACAACTGGTCAGTTTTGACCCACTTCCCGATTTTTCCCAGATATGCCGAGTTTTTTTTGACACCCCACGGTATTCTCCTACCACCTCACAAAATTTCAAGGGGGGTCGTCGGAGGAAATCTTTTTTCGTAATAGAGCTCATTTAGAGAGAATTTCACTCGCAGTCACTTTTTAGCCCTCGTCGAGGGCTTTGTGTCAAACCGATAGTTTTACCTAAAGGTCAAGCCATTGACCTAAGAGTATGCAAAAAATTAGCCAGATATACTGAGTTTAAGTACCCTAAAGTCTGCGTTGAAATGACCCTCTGTTTTTGCCATAAAATACAAAGATTATATAGGGAAATACAACTGGTCAGTTTTGACACCTTTACGAAGTTTTCCCAGATATTCCGAGTTTTTTTTGTGACACCCCAAGGTGTTCTCCTACAACCTCACAAAATTTCAAGGGGGGTCGTCGTCGGAATTTTTTTTTCGTAATATAGCCCATATAAGGCGCCGGTCAGTCGAGGTCAGTTTTGACCCCCTCTCCGTAGACTTTTTGCCGAACCGTCACCATCCTTCGTGTTCTATCGCCCCAAGGCAACTTCGTGCCAAATTTGACGCGCCTGCGGCGCCGGGAAGTGCCCTATCGGGCACCTGACCACTTTGCTTTATATATATAGACTAGGCATACTGCCTAGCTTCGCTTTGGTTTTCAAAAAAATTAAGGAATTGAATAATTAATTAATAGATGATTGGCTGCTATCTTAAATGCTTAGGGCCTAAATTTATACAGTGGAGTAATTTCATGCTGCTCAAATATTGATGGAATCTTCGAAAACTTATTACTCGCACGGTTATTAGAACTGCAAGGGGTTTCTCAATAGTATCAATCAAATATTATAATAAATTACTTTCGTAATTAATTTTTACAATTTCAGTACAATGCAAAACCTAATTGATAACAAAATATTTATTTAAAATAATGCTATACTCTATGATTTTTGTTTTTTTTCTTGAAAAGAGAATACAAATTTTAAAAAAAATTATTACATTAAAAAGTTACTTCCCCTGTTCAAAGACCAAATGACCAAATCTCGTATAATGAGAATTTCACTCGCGGTCACTTTTTAGCCCTCGTCGAGGGCTTTGAGTGAAACCGACAGTTCTCCCTAAAGGTCAAGCCATTTGCCTAAGAGCATGCAAAAAATTAGCCAGATGTAAAGACGGTAAGTGCCCTCAAATTCGTTTTGAAATCACCCTCTGTTTTTCCCATAAAATACAAAGATTATATAGGGAAATACAACTGGTCAGTTTTGACCCATTTAACGAATTTTCCCGGACATGGCGAGTTTTTTGTGACACCCCCAGGCATTCTCCTACCACCTCACAAAATTTCAAGGGGGGTCGTAGGAGGAAATTTTTTCTCGTAATAGAGCTCATATAATGAGAATTTCACTCGCGGTCACTTTTTAGCCCTCGTCGAGGGCTTTGAGTGAAACCGACAGTTTTCCCTAAAGGTCAAGCCATTTACCTAAGAGCATGCAAAACATTAGCCAGATGAAAAGACGGTAAGTGCTCTCAAATACGTTTTGAAATCACCCTCTGTTTTCGCCATAAAATACAAAGATTATATAGGGAAATACGACTGGTCAGTTTTGACCCACTTCCCGATTTTTCGCAGATATGACGAGGTTTTTTTGACACCCCCAGACATTCTCCTACCACCTCACAAAATTTCAAGGGGGGTCGTCGGAGGAATTTTTTTTTCGTAATATAGCTCATATAATGAGAATTTCACTCGCGGTCACTTTTTAGCCCTCGTCGACGGCTTTGAGTCAAACTTACAGATTTCCCTAAAGGTCAAGCCATTGTCCTAAATGTATGCAAAAAATTAGCCAGATATACTGAGTTTAAGTACCATAAATTCTGCGTTGAAATGACCCTCTGTTTTCCCCATAAAATACAAAGATTATATAGGGAAATACGACTGGTCAGTTTTGACCCCTTTACGAAGTTTTCCCAGATATGCCGAGTTTTTTATGATACCCAAAGGCGTTCTCCTACCACCTTACAAAATATCAAGGGGGGTCGTCGGAGGAAATTTTTTTTCGTAATAGAGCTCATATAAAGAGAATTTCACTCGCGGTCACGTTGTAGCCCTCGTCGAGGGCTTTGAGTCAAACCGACAGTTTTCCCTAAAGGTCAAGCCATTTACCTAAGAGTATGCAAAAAATTAGCCAGATGTAAAGATGGTAAGTGCCTTAAAATCCGTTTTGAAATGACCCTCTGTTTTACCCATAAAATACAAAGATTATATAGGGAAATACGACTGGTCAGTTTTGACCCCTTTACGAAGTTTTCCCAGATATGCCGAGTTTTTTGTGACACCCCAAGGCGTTCTTTTACCACCTCACAAAACATCAAGGGGGGTCGTCGGAGGAAATTTTTTTCCGTAATAGAGCTCATATAAAGAGAATTTCACTCGCGGTCACTTTTTAGCCCTCTTCGAGGGCTTTGAGTGAAAACGACAGGTCAGCCGTACGGCCAAGCCATTTACCTATAAGCATGCTAAAACTTAGCCACGTGTAAAGAGGGTAAGTGCCCTAAAATCCGTTTTGAATTGACTCTCTGTTTTCCCCATAAAATACAAAGATTATATAGGGAAATACGACTGGTCAGTTTTGACCCACTGCCCGATTTTTCCCAGATATGCCGAGTTTTTTGTGACACCCCATGGTGTTCTCCTACCCCCTCACAAAATTTCAAGGGGGGTCGTGGGAGGAAAATTTTTTTTCGTAATATAGCTCATATAAAGAGCATTTCACTCGCGGTCGCTTTTTAGCCCTCGTCGAGGGCTATGAATGAAACCGACAGGTCAGCCGTACGGCCAAACCATTTACCTATAAGCATGCCAAAACTTAGCCAGGTGTAAAGAGGGTAAGTGCCCTAAAATGCGTTTTGAATTGACCCTCTGTTTTTCCCATAAAATACAAAGATTATATAGGGAAATACGACTGGTCAGTTTTGACCCACTTCCCGATTTTTCCCAGATATGCCGAGTTTTTGTGACACGCCAAGGCGTTCTCCTACCACCTCACAAAATTTCAAGGGGGGTCGTCGGAGGAAATTTTTTTTCGTAATAGAGCTCATATAAAGAGAATTTCACTCGCGATCACGTTTAGCCCTCGTCGAGGGCTTTGAGTCAAACCGACAGTTTTCCCTAAAGGTCAAGCCATTTACCTAAGAGTATTGAAAAAAATTAGCCAGATATACTGAATTTTTTTTCGTAATATAGCCCATATAAGCCGCCGGTCAGTCGAGGTCAGTTTTGACCCCCCTCACCGTCGACTTTTCGGCCAACCGTCACCGGCCCTCGTGTTCTATCGACGCAAGGCACCATCGTGCCACATTTGACGCGCCTGCGGCGCCGGGAAGTGCCCTGTCGGGCACCTGACCACTTTGCTTTATATATATAGACTAGCTGCATCCCGTGCTCCGCCACGGTAAATATTTTTTAAATGTACCAACTTGGGAACAGAACAAAACTAAACACAACATAAACGAACGCAAAAAAAAAAAAAAAAAAAAAAAAAAAACGAAAAAACAAACACAACACTCATAACATAAACACAATTTAAATGCAATCATAAAGGCATATTGCTCACAGTCTAGTCCGTAGCGCCAAATCGCGCCCTTTCCAGTGATTTGCACCCCCCTCAAACTTTCGATTTGCACCCCTCCCCCCCCCCCCGCCCTAAAACTTTCGATTTCCACACCCCCCCCCCCTCGCAAATTTTTTCCAACCCACATCCGGGGACATATGCCCCCCCCCCCCCCCCCATCGCAACGCCTCTCCTATAAAACCCCTAGCTTGTCCGCAAACCGACAGAATAATCATTAGAAAACAGTATAAATAATAGGCAGTATTTAAAATATCCGTGTTTTACCTACAATATTTCACTTTATCCATTCACGCATTTTTTTTTCCAGTACTTTAAATTTTAAAAATTTACAATTGAGTTTCATAACTAAAACCATTGCGCACCTAATGAACGTGATGACGCGCCTATAATAGTGCTGAATAGTTGATTAAAAATTATAAGTAATAAACAGTAGGGCCTACATTCAGTGAATAAAATAAATAAAAGATTGCCTTTTATCAATCCATGCTAATTATAATTTTCTAACAATAATTTCCTCCTACCGAATAATTTGCATTCACATTTTGCTAATTATATTATTGCAACACTAATTCCTTCTATGACGAACGTATATTTGCATTCACATTTTTTATTAGCGTGAGTTTAATGTATTTTTAAATTACCTCCTTTGTCAAAATTAGAAAAGAGTTAAATTAATTTGATTTTTCTTCCCTACTGTTATTATGTTATTAAAATGTATCCACTTTTTCTGGGAGCCTAAACGGAAATGATATTTGACATTAATCTTTTTAATACGTTTTAGCAGTTTGCGTGTATTTAATATTTTCTTGACGTTATGCGAAAGAGTAAAAACCGTGGCAATTTTAAAATAGCTCTATGCCGCTATATAAACAAACCCTACTCTATTACTTATAATAAGACACTGCGGTGCACTGAAAAGCACAGCATGGTGCGAATGTTTACTTTTATAGTCCCAAAATCTATAGCGATGACGGAAGGAAGGAAGGAAGGACTGACACACTACTTGCCCGCTTATATTATAGATATTCTGGTCGATTTGTATTTGGGCTAAAGTATTGAACATAATTTTTTTTTCATTCATCTTGGCTAAAACATTAACACGGTTTAGTCGTGTTTCCATTTGCTTTACATGAGCTCTCGTAAAATTATATTAAAAAAACACGTTGTAGTGTGAAACTTTTGGCAACGTTACAATAATTTTTTATATCATTACTTTTGTTTCTTCTTTAAAGCAACTAGGTGTCATAATACCCTTATACATTTGCGTCTGTACAGTAAACGTATTTCAAACTGTGGTGGGAGTGCAGCCAATTAATGAAACAAAGTGCACTCCACACGGACGATTTAAAAATATACAGAAAGTTTGCTTAACTTTTGAATACAATGATAGTTAATCTTGATCCTTTTTAATCAGTGTCACTTGCATAGTTCATTTTCCAGATGGGTGGTGTCTTATTATACTAGTATACTATTTTAAATAGCACGTAAAGAACTGCAAATTAAGAGAGTATAAAATATTTAAATTGTCATCAAATACGGCCAAATTAAAGTTACTTTTTACCTATTTTTAAAAACTTTTTTCAAGCTTTTATTTACTTTACAACGGCTGTTTATTTTTGGGTGTGTGGAAAATCTCTTTGCAGATAATCATCTTTCATAGATTGCAAAGTATTGATAGTGTTTTATAGCAAATATTTTTAGTGGTCTTGACTTCATAAATTATTATTATTATTCATTATAAAAAATCTTTTATATAACTATGCACTAAAAAAAAAGAAAGTAAATTATTTCCTTAACTTTATAATAATGAACTGCTATTTAAATAACCATAAAGAAATTTTACTAAAGTTATTCATTAGATAATATAATGACCCACACTAGTGTATTATTATTTATTTAAAGAAAAATCAATTTATCCTTTTTTGGTGCATGAATTTATGAAAGCTTTTTATTAAAACGGTTTTTTTCCTAAGTACTTTAAAATGTTTAATTTCAATACAGTTGCATGGCTAAAAGCTTTTGGGCACCACATGAACACGAAAAACGCACATATAATAATACAGCTTTGTATGGGACACTTAAATAATTCTTAACATTTAATTAAACATCTAATTTAAATATGTTTTATATTGCATTTACATCGGATCGTGACCCCCGTGCTAAGTTTTCCTCTCCCGTTATTATGCATAAGACAAAACCCGCAAAAAAAGCAAGCTTGTGAAATTGGAAAAAATACATAAAAACTGATCAGAAATCGTAAATCATCACAGTAGGCAGACGTCCTGTGTAGTGATTTTCATTTCTAAATAAAAAAAACTACTGCATGTAAAAAAAAGAGTTTACTATCTGAAAACCAGTGTATTGATTTAGAGTAGAGTATTAATATAAATTACATGAACAATGATATCTTCTAGACTTGTATATTAAACTAATGTATTTGAACACGGGTATACCTTGTCATTCGCTATGTGCGTCACACAATATGTTGTATTTGGTTCTTTCTGTTTTGCATTGTATGAAAACAAACTGGATAGAACCTCATCTTAGAACTCCAATAATCATAAACTTTAAACCCGATGTTAAATGAAATTAGAATCTGTTCAGTATATTAAGTGTGAAAACCTGTAATTTTGTCTTGCCAAACCAAATGTTAAATCCCAATGCCCACCCTTTACAGTAATGTTCTTACAAAAATTTTCCCAAACATCCATCGTAAAATATATTTTACCACACCTTTATAAATATCGTTTACTCTAATCATTTCCTTAAAACTGCCCATTGCCTATCACTAACATTAAACCTTAATGTTAACCTAACTGTAACTAAATCATTATCTTAACCCTAACTCTTTCCCTATCAATGTTGTTATATATTTTTCAAAGCTGTTTACTTTAGCATCAGACATTACATTTTAAATTAGCTAAATGTCAGCATTAATGTGTCTCAAAAATCTAGATTTGAATAACTAATTAAAAGAAATTAAAACTAATATGTACCATCGAAATCAGTATACTAATAAATCACGTATCTTTATTAAATACCCAGCACTAAAACGAGATACACAAAACGACACCAAAAACGAACTGAGCGACTCAACCGTCAGTGAACAAAACGACGCAGATGACAGCAACTTTAAAAGGTAAGTAATTTGTGTAGCTTACAGAAATATGTCTAGACATTTTCAACAGCGAAGTAATATTTAAATTGTAAGTTACTTTAAAACAATACCGTCACACAGATTTAACATTATAAATAACACAAATTACATACGCCAGTAGGCTTACATATAGTTTAATACTGACCGCGAGACTTAATTCAATGCATAACTTTTAACATAGAAGGTTCTAGACAAGTGAACTCATAAGCATACATTTCTGTTAACTGTTCTCAATTATCCCGAGATCACCCCGTCTATTACCACTATGACAAGCAACCTTATTTAATCTTCGCGCAGAACATGACCAGTAACAATTGCCATCTAACTATTGTCCCCATCGACCTCTGATCATGAACACCTTATGATTCGCACAAGCTGGGCAATAAGTTTAAGTAGGATAATACCCCACTGTCGAGATCAAATTTACACTATATTCGATGGTGGGGATAATGATCGGGATTCCTTTAAGGCTGTACTGTTCTCAATATGAAAGCTTTAAAAAGATTAGTTAAACATATCTTTTCGGATCATTTATGCAAATCACCACACCATTGTTATTAAAACATGTCAAGGCAATGTGTATTTATTTTCTTGATACTTCAATTACTTCTCATCACCAAAAAATGTATAAACAAATACATCCAAACAAAATAGCATATGTTGTGTATCGATATTTTCTATAACAACAGATCCATCGATTGCTATATAAAGACTGTTCTTCTATCTCACAACAATCAGGTAGGAAGTTTTTATTGTGAGTATAACACATAAATACACAATGTATTAAGTCGCTTTTGAAAAAACAATATCTGATGAAAATTACGTGTTATTTTTTGAAGCTGTATAGAAGATATTTTGTTTGGTCCATCGGTGTCTATTGCGCCATTCGACAACTTGTTTGTTGTATGGGAAACAAATTGGGGCCTATATAAACCTACCAATGATGCTGATATTCAATGACTGCATGGCTATTCTTAGATTAAAAGTATATATTTATGTGTAAGAAATCGAGTCTAGGCATCTCAATCGCGGGCGGTGGGGGGGGGGGGAGCAGGTGGAGCAGCCTCTCCCCCTCTGGCTATTTTCACCGAAGTGGCGCCTTTATGGAAACTTTTTAAACTCTAATTTTTAAACATTGATATTTGTTAAAAAATTATTTTTGGTCCCACCAACATCGATGTAAATTACAAGATTTTTATCATGCAGCAATTAAGCATAATAGTGCTAAACTAGCTGCTTCTACTTTACAACGCGTAATAAGAGCTGTATCAGTTTGTCATTCGAAAAATAACTATTAAGATGTCTTGCGATGTTTACAACAATTCTACCGGCAGTAAATTTGACAAGAGGGGTGTCGAATTCCACTATATAACGTATTTGATTAAGAATAATTGAATAAGAAAATATAATAAATAAATCTTCACACGTAATTACTTTATATATAAAGTTTGAATCTTGTAATACATTTATTAAAGTCAAACTTTACTCTATAATTGATACAAATCTAGAATATTCTACAGATATTTTTTTGTTTTGTGATAACCCCGTAACACCGGATCTAGTACGTGCATTAATTGAGTTTGGTCCTTGACAAACAGGCCTCAGAGAAGCTTATAAAGATGTTCCAAAAAAATTCAACTGATCGGCACTTTATTGCCAGTTGGTACAAAAAAAACCATACGAAATGTGGTCGGAAAATAATACGACATTTATTAGTACTAGAAAGTGATATAGACGCAGTTCTGTATTAGGAAAACAGGGATTCGCGTTTAGCCATCGTGAATCCAAAGGTTTAGGCGAAGCTCCAATAAATGAAAGCAACGTTTTAAACTTATTAAACATCTACCAAAGAAAACTGATTTGCTAAAACAACATTTAATTGTCGTTGACAGAACTGAAATATATTAAAGTCCGGGTAAGCTAAATGACTTAATACAGTCTATATCAACCCAATTTTTAAAGAAGAAATCTAAAAAGCTAGGTATTTAGCTGTGGTTATATAGTTAACTATCGACATTAGTAGAATGGATCAATTTTCTTTTTCTGTCCGACATGTTACGGAACATCGAAATATTTATTTAATTCCTTGAGCTTCCATAAGCTATTCCAGAGGTTTTTGTCAAAACGCTTCTTACAGCAGTAACAGATTTAACGCCAGGTATTCTCCTTTCATATAAAGTTCACACCAAAATGCAATATAAGTACAATACACCCAAATAACAGTTAGTTACGCGTCCTCACTTCACATAAAATGTTTTGTAACAACTTTTTTAATGGGGCGGGATCATACGCCACACAACGAAAAAAAAGTAGCTCAGCTTAGATTAAAAATAAAACAAAACAATATAGACTGAACATTCGTAGCCATACAAGTTTATAGTATAGGAAAAAATAAAAAAGTTATTTTGATCATAGCGCTTAATATTTTTTATCTAATTTGTAACGTTAAAAGAATTGCGCACCAAATAAACGCCAAATAATATATGTATAATATATTATTATTACTTTATAAATTTATAAATTTACATGCGTTTTTTTTAGAAATCGGATATAGCATACATTACTACTTCCGTTGGTAAACACATGATCATCTTGTTAGCAGTGATACATTTTTAAGGTGTATTTGAAAATGTTCTTGATGTTAAGATATATATTTTGACTTACGGTTTTTCTGTTTTTAAAGATGTTGGTTTTAGGGCACGCGGAGCTTTGTGCTGTTGTCAAACCGCAGGTGTCTGTAAATTTTGTGAAATATTGTTTTATGATTTTGCGGTCGGTTTTCATCTTGCCTACGCTATTTTAATGCTCTGGGTGTGTTTATTGTTTGCATGTATTTATTCAAATATTATATTTTATTTGGAAGGTTTTTCATATTTTATAGTTTTTCTTGTACTGCAAATTATCGCTTTTATTCAATTGTATACTTCCGTGCATTGTGGCAACTTCTGTCTTTATTTCATCTACTGTATCTTGAGTGTCCTAGTAAATTTCATAGTTTCAATGTATCTTTCATAGTCAAATAGAAAATGTTAAGTTTCCTGTTTGCCATTTTACTTTTAACTGTAGGTGTTGTGTTTGTTTGTCCTAAAGTAACTTTATGATCGGTGAATCTAAGTGTTGATTTATATTTTATCTGGAACATATTCGTGTTTCCAAGTACACATATCCAGTTAAGCTAAGATAAAGAACGTTTAATGCGTGTTGTACTCAATTAAGTGGTTTCTGATTCGTTGTGAACTTGTTGATTGATGTGGCCCCATTTTCACAACGTAGTGGGTCCTATAAAAATTTTGTATGTCCACCTTCCTCATAATAACGGTTATCAATTGTAGTGCTCTTTTATTTGCCAGCGTCTGTGGAACATACAATTCCACCAGCTCACAGATCTCGCAGATTCTTCTCAAGTTTGGCGTAGTGTACCGTAAAGCGTTTTGATTTGAATTTTATGAGTTGCTCAGGATCTATTCTTCGCACTCGAGTTTTTTTCCACTTTAGACTTAAACATACGATTTGTTAACTGAACACATTCGTTAATAACATGTAGTTAATAAATAATTCGAAAATAAAATTATATATATATATATATATATATATATATATATATATATATATATATATATATATATATATATATATAACGTTCTAAAATTGATCTATTATATTTGGGAGGTAAGTTAAAAAACAACACAATTTCTTAAAGGTCTCAAGTTTACTTTACTGCACAGCGTCGACTCTCTATATTTGCCAGGCCTCAGTTCAGAGTTGCGTATCTGAGCGATGATATAAAAATGTTAGGCTATACTGTGTGTATACTTTGCTTGTTCAAAGAAATGGTTAAATCTTGACTATGGGATCCGGATTTTCGCCGACTTATGCCCGAAATGACACTTGTTCTAATGGGACCAATGCACAAATTGGAAAGATACACGAAAGATATTCACCGTTTGCACGAAAAAAAATTAATATAGTAGATTACTTAGTAGACATACTGCAAAAAAATGTGTATTAAACATTTTGATCAATTTAAGCATAATACTAACACAGTTCAAAGCAGAATATATATATTGAATGAGTGAAGGGTGATAAATGTGGGTGAATGTTTTTTTCCATATGTTGTAGCCTGTCACATTCGTCTCTGTTCAGTCCTCGTACTGTGAGATGTAGTCCGGTTTATAACTGTTTGCTGTAAGGGTTTATAACGTGTGTGAGAACGTGTTTTGTTGCCTCTGTTTCGTCCAGTTCTCCCAAAAGGTTAGTGTAGGATAGTTCTGTTCTCTTAGAGAGTCCTTATATCTTAGTCTGCGTACAAGCGTATGTATGTTTAGAATTGTTTTGTATATCTAATATATAAAGTTGAAATTTTTTTTTTAATACTTTATTTTCCAATTTAAAACAAATACAATAACATGCCACGCCGTTTGGGTGGATATTTACGAGATAGTTACATTGGTGTAAAGAGTTAAGTAAATAAATAGCGAAATATGTAAATGAATACAAAATATACATTGAATTTACAGCTTGTTGAGTCAAAAGTTGAAAAGAGGCTGGTTTGTAACATGTTTGCCAACAAAAAAGTGGTGGAAGAGTATAACGTATGGAAGAATAGTCGAAAACAAAGCTAGTTTGCATGGATTTCATCTCATTCTGTACAATAAACATAGTAAATACCAAAGAAAAATTAATAAACAGTGGAGTAATCACACACACACACACACATTTGTTGTTTTACAAAAAATTTCGTTTACATTTGTACAATAGTGAATTGCAAAAATAAATATTCAAAACTGATGTTTTGGGGGGTGGTGGGGTCGTTGGAACAGTTAAAAGGGACGTGGGGTTATCATATGATGTGGGCATAGAGGGGGGGGGGGCGGTAGAGTGTCGGTGTTTAGGTTTGTTTGGATGTTTAGTACCGACAGGTTAGGGGTGGGTAGGCGGGAAGCTATCACGAAGTGTGGGGATACAGTGGAGTTTTAAAGGTCGAAAATTGGGGGCAGATACACCCAGAACATGGTTACCTTACTAAAAAATTTACCAAAAAAAAACTATTAGACTTACAGATGCCAAATTTGGTACCAGTATAGCTTACATAGTCTATTATATGGCAAATGTAAGGAAATAAGTTTATATATGGAGTAAAGATTTTTAAAAAAATAATTTTAAAATGTAAGTCATCCGCAATATTAAAAAAATGACCCCAACTGTAGAACTAATTTAAACCAAAGTATCAAGTACACAGCTGTAACACTTTCAATGCATCTAAAAGACATGTATGGCTATGGTATGAACCAGTCTCATGTTACTAACCATTATGGTTTGTCCATGACACAAATTTGAAAAATGTGCTAAAATTTTGAGAAAACAGCAGAACATAGCCCTACATATCTAAAAAAGTATAACACCTAGGTAAAAGATTTTGGTTCATACCATAGCCACTATATCAGGGAATGTGTGTGCAAAGTTTTATCACAATTGAACAATAATTGTGGAAAATAGCTGGAAGACAATTTGCAAACATGTCGTTTTTCGCAAACTTTTCGTATACTAAAATAAGTTGATTTTCTTCCATGAAAACAGGCAATACACTCCAGCTTAGTAAGGATGGCACTGTTTTTCAGATTCTTTCTCCTCAGCACCTAATTCATAGTGCTTTCTGACCTGACAAAGAGTCTTGAAAGCCCAAAATGTCTGTTTTTTTTTTGTTTTTTTTGTAACATACGACACATCGGCGGTTTTGCAGAATTCTAACAGTTGTCCTGGATGTATGTCTATCACCCTCAGCAAACCATCAGAATAGTGTTCCATAACTAAATATAGCTTCTGCCATTGCTATAGAAGTCTCCAATTATTACAGAATGATTCCTTTTCTTTTGGAATTACTTCCCTATCATGTCGCTGATTGACTCATTCTGGTTGTAGGTGTAGCTATTGAGTCAATTTGTTACCTCCTATGTCTTAGCAAGGACTTCTCCAGACTGGTCTTATAGCTTCAATGACTTCTGTAAGGAGGTAATAATGTGTTCTATATGATATGACCATTGGCATTGGTGTTTTTACTTTATGCAGGTCCATTATAAGGCAAAAAACTAATCTGACCTTTCCGCGCATTAGCTTTGCATCCCAAATACAGTTCATCTGTTCACAATATTTAAAAAAAAATACCAACAACTGAGAGGATAAGCTTAGAAACAACCAGATTATCTGTTTCATTTTGTATTATTACAATTAAATATGTATGAACTGGCTAGCCCCTTTCATTCATTTCAACAAGTGCAATGAAATAGTTTCTCAGAGAATCGCTGTCTATACTAATTTATTATCACATTATCTATCTACATAATACATAATTTTCCAGATGATTGACTTTAATATTTAGTTTTGTTTTATTCAGAATCACCATTGAGAAGTACTTTTCCTATGTATCATTCTATTTAGTAGAATCTTGAGTCTGCATCAATGTAGTTTATATTTTTTGTTTTGACTTTGTGGGTGTGTCCACCTGGTTACCAAATGTAAACAAACTTTTTATTTATTTATTTTTATTACTATTACTGTTAGTCAGCAAGAAGGTAGTCTGTTTTATTTTACATAAACATAATCTATGTCTTTTTCTAGTTTCACTAGCTGTAGATTGCATATAATAACTTAGAAAACTCACTTTCTATACTAGTTTAGTTTCAGTAAATTTTAATACCTCAACCGTGAAATGTGTCATTATTCCAAGTATAAAATAATAAAAATATTTAATAGGAAGTAGATCTATTTTGAAATAGGGAGTAGCTAATTATTCTAATAGTAAAGGGAGTGTTTATTGTTTATATTTATTATTATATCGTTCGTTTCCGAGTATTGTAAAGGGCTTGCCGTCAGACATTTTCCCTATTTTTTACATTCTGACGGACTACCCCTACCCACTTTAGAAGCTAATAACTAAAAAACTACTTCACTCAGGTCAAATTAATGCGCACAGACGGATAGAGAAATGGATTCTGAATAAAATAACATTCACCATACAACAATATTAAAAAAAAAACGATTTTTCAATGATTCTGGGTGTACCTGCCCCCTTAACAGTGTTCTCATAAAAGAGTTACTTAAGTTAACAAAACAACTGTAAGTAATAATGTGGGGGTAATAAAATGAATACAGAGGAGTAAGGGGTCATTGGGGTAATTGTAAATTCTGTATGTATGTAATTATGTTTGCCGTGGATTACAAAGGAATATAAGAAAAAACGAAATTTCTATGGATTCAAAAGAGAGTGCTCATGGTTTAAATACATGGTTTAAAAAATGTAGGCCTATACTGAAAGTGTTGTGAAATAATTTTCATTTTTCAAACTGATATAAATAATTGTCGGCATGTTCTTTAAAAAACATTTTAAAAAATATATCGTCTTTTACAAAAATTCTAATTACGTCTGAAAATTATTCATATTTAGTCCTTTAGCACTTCCCTTTGATAACTTAGGAAAACACAATTACTTCCCTTTAAAGGAATTAAATCGGGTGGAAAAGAATTTACTGTTTATTACTTTGTTTTGGTGTTCGGAAAAATAAAGAATTACATAACAAGCACGGATTAATCAAGTGCATATGGCAGGTATTTTAATTCTGCATTTCATTATTTCATACACTGAACGTTCTGGTTACTAATTCTTTTTTTAATCAAAGACATTTGACGAAAAAAAAAGACATCTTTATACGGGAACGGGAATTCCCGCAGGTTAATATTTGTGCTTTTTTTGCGCATTCGTTTTTGTCTGTCTTTTTTGCGCATTAAGGGGAGATCGTTTTGGTCTGTCGCACCAGAAAGCTCTTTTATAGATACCTTCACCAATCTAAAGTAAGATATACAATTGTTTATATTAGATTACTATTTTTAATTAAAGACGGGTGAAGTAACAAAAGACAACTTTATTCGGGAACGGGAATTCCCGCAGATTATTAGTTATCTTTTTTGCGTTTTCGATTTTGTCTGTTTGTTTTTGCGCAAGAAGGGGAATTCATTTTTGTCAGTCTTACCAGAAAAATCTTTTATACAGACCTGCGCCAAACTACAAGAAAATATGCATTTTATATAATAATAGCCGTCCCGGTCTGTGTTGTGTTGTGTGTATGTTGTGTTTGTGTTGTGTTGTATTGTGTTTGTTTTGTGTTTGTGTTATGTTTGTGTTGTGTTTGTGTTGTCTTGGTGTTGTCTTGGTGTTGTCTTTGTGTTGTGTTGTGGTTGGGTTTGCGTTGTGTTGTGTTTGTGTTATGTTTGTGTTGTGTTTGTGTTGTCTTTGAGTTGTCTTTGTGTTATCTTTGTGTTGTGTTGTGGCTGGGTTTGCGTTTGGAATTGGCTTGTCTTTGTTTGCTTTTTTCTTTGTATTTATGTTTGTGGTTGAGTATGTTGTTAGGTTTTTGTTTTTGTTTTCGTTTGTGTTTGTATTTGTGTTTGCGTTATTTTTTGTTTTGGTTAATTGTGGTTAGGATGGGCAATGCCGGGTATATGATGATTACTAAACACACAGGTAATGGTCCTTAACAGATTTTTTCACAGAGGCCAGAGCAGGTCCTGGCCGGGACGGCTAGTCTAATACATAAAGTTCAATTCTGTATGATGTATGTTTGTAAAATGTTTGTCTTGGATTACAAAATAATATAAGAAAAATGAAAAAAAAACGATACTTCGATGGAGTCAAGTGTTAGATTATTAAAGTGTTAAGGTCTAAATTTATGAGTTTAAAAATTAATATTGACAGTCTTTAAAAATCATTTTCATTTGAGATATTACATAAAATTTTTAAAAAAGTGTGTCAATAATTATAGAATTTCTAACTGTGTCTGAAATGCATTTGCATTTTGTCCTTTAGCACTCATTACGTCCCTTGATTTGAAAACATTAGTTTCTTCCCTTTAAAAAAACCCATTAAATCGGGGAAAAATAATTTACTTTTTATTACTTTGTTTTGGTGTTAGGAAAAAAATAATTATATATTAATTACATTAGCGGGGAGTGATTAAGTTCAATGTCGTTGGTACTTTTAATACTGCCTTTTATTTATTCTATACACTGAACGTACTGTTTACTAATATTTTTTTTTTTTAAATCAATAACAGTTAATAAGCCAGGTCCTACAAATCCTATAGGTTTATTTCTTTCCATTTTGTTCACTAAATTGAAACACGGTTTGATTGGGCGCTCTATCATGTGAGCGCTATGGTGCATAATTTCGTATTAAACAGTGCGATAGACTATGGATAAGAAAGGTTACTATAGTCTTTAATTGAATCAAATCCGGGCGTCCTCCGGCACCCTGACAGGGTGTTATTTAGCGTCCCGAGCCTTCCCGTGTTCGCTATGGTACCTACGTTCGCGTAAGTTCAAAAGACTATAAATACGCTGGGTACTAAAGTCGTTTACTAAGTTGAAGCAGGCAGTTACGCCGCACGTCGTCATGGTGCGATTTGGCGCCCCGGGCTTTACTGTAGACACTTTGAGTTTATCTTTGCGTTTGTGTTTTCTTTGTGTTTGAGTTTGGGTTTGCGTTTGTGGTTGTGTGTGCGTTTGCGTTTGTTTTTGTGTTTTCGTTAGTGTTATGTTTGCGTTTTTTGTTTGTTTTGGTTGGTTGTGGTTAGGGTTGGCAATGCCGGGTAAATACTGATTACTAACACAAGTTATGGTCCTTTACAGATACGTTTTTCACAGATGCCAGTGCATGGCCTGGCCGTGACGGCTAATAGTGTATATAGTATTAAAATATTTTATAATTAACAAGTGGGTGTTTCATTTAGTCTTTTTTTAAAAACCCGTTTGTTGTTGTTTCGTCATGAATGTTTCGTGACACACTGGATCACCCGTACAGGCGTATCCGATTACACAACATACTAGTGGCCCCGTCCGTGATTTGAACTAAACAGTTTTGTAAGTATCTCTCTGTCTACACATCAAGTTAGCTTACTCTTGTTAGTGTGTACACTGGCTAGTCCTTAGTGCTGAAGCTTGCGTATGGTTAAAATGGATTGAGGTCAGTCAGTCGGTTGTCGAACCAGGTGTCGACTGACCTCTAAACAAGCGACAAAATGAGATACATTTCTTGAAAATTTGTTTTTGTTTGGTAATTCTATGGCAGTAGCAGTAAGAAATTTGGCAACGTTTCACATTTGCACAGCGTTGCTCAGCATTACATATCGTCAGACAAAAAGACTGTGTGATATACATGGTTAATACCGAAAACATTCTTAGTTTTAATTAGCTTATATGACGAGGCCTCACTAATAAAACTTTTTCTAAAATAAAAAAAAATGACAACAGTTGTGTACTTGTTAAAAATGCGATAATAAGGATTGCTATTGTTTTACTTTTAATATAGTCATTTTAATAAATGAAATAGCATTGTGTTGTAAATAATGTTAACAATTATTTAATAACATGAATTGTAAAACATAATTTGTTTTTTTTTTACTTCCAGAGAACAAACTATTATGAATTAAAGGAGTTTGTTTCTGATGTTATGTCAGAGTTTTTGAACATGAGAGACTTTGACGCTTTACATTTCTTCATTTGTCAGAGGTGTTTGAGGACAATTTACTCTGCACTAAATGCAGAAGATAAACTGAAGTTTTTCACACTACTCTTAGATCTTAACTATGCGGGTAATTTAGTTTTACAGCTTGTAGTCTTATTTTAGTATAAGCTGTGTCTTAAATCACATAAAAAAATGTCGTTCTGTTTTTTTTTTGTAACAAGACTGACAAATGATAAAAGCTTGATGTTATGGACCCTAAACACCAGTATAGAAGTTATAAGCATGTTGTACTTATAATTTAAATTATGTCTGATTTGTTACTAGTATGTTGAATCACTGACTGTGTCTCTCCTAGTTATTTCAGTGGCCGTAGGAAATATGGACATCGTTGTATATGAGATTTTACCAATAGTACATATTTTAACTCGATTTTACATGTTAAATTCTACATCTTAAGAAGTAAAATAGTAAATAAGTTTTTGCCACATACTTTGTCATTTTGTTTCTCTTTGAAGTTGTAGGCCTAACCTGCAGTTTTCGCAGAACTTCTTGTTTCCAAACTTTCTCATCGTTGATATTTTTACTTGTTGCTTTCATATGTGTGCTTTATTTCCTAATTTAAAATAAGGGCCGTGTTTATTGGCCCACACAAAAACCTTGTTTAAATAAGGTCATATTGAGTCGCATGGACAGAATGTGAAATCAAATACTGTACAAACAAATTGTGGTATGCTAAATAACTTCCGTCTAGTGAAATGCACAGACAAATACATGTTTATAATGTAGTATTAAAACTATTGCATTGATTCAATTTAGGAAACAGTATGGGCAGGAAAATACCCGTATCTAGCTAAAATAGTGTGTATAACAGTTGGTTTGCTGTAGCGTAAGTTAACTTTATAATTTTGTCAGTTGAACAGATAAAGGGCCAGAGACGTATTATCAAACACAATTCCGGGCATAACACGTGTATGGTACTATATATATATATATATATATATATATATATATATATATATATATATATATATATATATATATATATATATATAGATAGATAGATATAGATATAGATATAGATATATATATATATCGATGGTCTTGGTCATAAACCATGTTACTCAAAAAAATTCAAACTCCTGTTTTTTACATAAATCAAAAGCCAGTATGATTCCCCATAATGCATGAAAATATTATATAAATCTGGTGAATGATTATCGAGATATAATCATCTGAACGAACCGCCTATTATTTTAGCGCTAAAAAATCTCGGCGCAAAACAAATAACGCAGTACACTTTGAATAAGCAACGCAGTCGCACAATTTTACACCACAGCAATCAAAGTATTTATAAGTAAGAATATTAGATTAGTTATGGTCAGCTATTCTATTATATTTTATCATTTGAAAGGATAATAAATAAACAGCATTTGTTTAATATAACCTATTTCCAGTTAGAATTTCGAGAACCAAACTTTTTAGTTTACATTTTATTAGGCTTTGAAACTAGATCTAAATTCTAGAATCTAGTCTACATCTAGAGTTTTATTTTAAAATAATATCGAATCGAATTTCTACAAACGTGTGATATAATTATTTTTTATTCATTAATAACTTCAGATTGAGGGTTTATCTTCGTGTTAAGAAATGTTTTATATGGTAGTTAAATTTTTTTTGCCTACATTATAAACAACAAAAAAAAATACTTGGAACTTAAATTTAGGTGTTAAACGGCAATTAGCATGCTATAGTGATAAGTATTACATGCTGCATTTCAGATCAAACTTAAAATGATTCAATCACATGATCTGAAATTGGATTTACATATACTACCAATACAACAGAGAGAAAAAGCCACTTCAACTTAGCTTAAAATCTTAAGCTGTCAAGCAACACAATTAAATTATTTCAGTAGTAAAAAAAATCTCGTCTGACTTACCAAATAAAAATCAGTCTAATCAGGCCAGCCTCTCTCAACAGACCAGCGTCTCTCAATAGACCAGTCTTACCATACAACAGCCCAGCCTATTTTAACACATCATTCTTACCAAGCAAGTGATTAGCCTCTATCAACTGACCAGTCTCAACATACAATAGATCAGCCTCTCTCAACTTCATAGAATTATCATGCAATAGATCATCCTCTCTCAACTGACCAGTGTAATCATACAAGAGATCAACCACTCTCAACTGACCAGTCTTACTATACAACAGACCAACCTCTCAACTGACCGTTCTTGTCACACAACAGATCAACCTCTCTCAACAGACCAGTCTGTTTCAAGAATTCAATGCAACAGACACTGCAAAACAACCCTGATGCTACTATCTACTTCAGAGGTCTCCAAACTTTTCAGCCCGAGGGCCGCATTAACAATACAAAATCAGTTGGGAGTTCTGAGTTTTTTCCAGGCATCTCTTCGAGGAGGTAGAGCCCCCCCCCCCCCCCCCGAAGAATGGCTAGCTCCCCCCACCCCACGAAATATAATTTATATAGAAATATATACAAATTGGTTGTAGAATGTTTTTCTCATTACACATCTTCTCCGCTTGTTCAACCAAGCCTTTCTTTATGCCACTTTCCTCCATCAACAGTCAGGTAACTGAGGTTGGTCCAGTCCAAGTAATAATCAGCAAATGTTTTTTTTTAACTCACTGAAATATACCTCTCAGGAAATAGTGTCATACAAAGCCAACTCTTGTGTTATGTTCATGTCTCCATCCATTTTGGGTTCTTCTGTATAAGTCTAGGAGTATATTATAGCAACTGACAACATACACCAAAGTAAATTCACTGGATAAGAATGCTAAGCAATAATAATACCTTTAATATATATATATATATATATATATATATATATATATATATATATATATATATATATATATATATATATATATATATATATAAGAATAAGTAATATGGAAACAATAAAAGATACTATATGCTTTAATTCAGATGATGATACTTAACACGACCCCAGTCACAGCCACGTCATGTCACATCCACGTCCACATTCAAACTTCACCTGCCTCACACACTGGCACACGCTCTGACACCGTCAACTGACACACCTGACGTTAACACCTCTCGCTCCATATAACCACACTCAACCAAGGGCTACAACCATACTAAACGGGGGGGGGGGGGTACCTGTCGTTCAAGCACACAACACATACACACACAAGCAGGGGACATGTAAGGGACACAACAATCCTCATCTCTAATAAACACAAGTTGAGAGGTGGAACAGCTGTCCAGCGGCTCATCCATTGCAATTGAAAAATTGCGAAACTTGCTTGCATTTTTCGCTATTTGAGTCATATTGTTTTCACCAGTGTCTGCAACACGGTAAGCAGCGGTATTTGCACCCAAAGCTACATTGTCAACTTGTTATGAATTTTCTGGGCAAAGTTCCTCAGACACCTCCAACAAAAAAAAATGTCCGTGGACAAAAAAGATATCCGCGGGCCGGATGAGAGGACCTCACGGGCCGTAGTTTGGAGACCCCTGATCTACTTCAAAGTCAATTAGCAGATATTTGGCAATATATTAACTTGGGTCTCAACATTAAGATCCTATCCCTAGCCCCTGACAATTTGTACAAAAAAGAAGAAAGATTAAATCTGTCAAATAGGAGCAACTACAAGAACGTCACAAATATACATTTTATGATAATGTGCCCAATTTTAAAACATTGTACTCACTTTAATATTCTCTAATGTGACTTTTTAAAAGAATATATTAAAACTAAACATGGTTATTTCTTTTATTGCATTTTTCTTTGATGCCCATTTTTAAAGATAAGTACACCATAAGTAGGTAGTTATTAATTAAAACCTTATTTAAACATCTCTACTAAAAATTAACCCATAATGTAGAATAAACTCAAATAATAGAAATATCAGCACAAATATATATTCTAAATATTATTAACTAAATTACGTTCTTTGGACAAAACGAACGAACGCGGCTTACACAGAAATTCTCGGTCCAAAACGGCAAAGTCTGCGTGCGCACAGATAGACGGTTTGGCAGCGAGGGTGCGCGGACCATTGCCCACAGGAGCTTTGACCATAGGGGGTTTGACCATAGGAGGTTTGACCACAGCGGGGCTTTGACCATAACGGGGCTTTGACCATAAGGGGTTTGACCATAGGGGGTTCGACAATAGGGGGTTTGACCATAGGGTCATATTTGTTTGGTGCTAATATAGCGAAAATAATTTTTTATTATTTTGTCGGGAGCCAAAATATCTAGAGCAAATATGTCGTAACGTTAACTAAAACCACGATCCCAAACTCAAAGATATTTATAAACATAAACATTTTCTTATTCCAATCTCCAACTCTGTATTAATACATATTATTTTCCCTATTGTTATTGCTATCAGTATGTTAGACATCTGTCCAATCCTAGTTTATTTTCTCTAAAGCTATTCCTATTCGTATCCTGTATTTGTAGCTATCCATAATCTTTTCATTATACCTAACGCAATCTCTATCTAAACCTCATCCGCTTCCCTATTTATGTCTATATTACAATTCATGTTCAATAACATTAGCGTTAATGATTCCCTTATTTTATTTCCTCATCCAATGTCATATTACTCTAACTCTATTCATATCCCTTACCTATTCCTAACGCTATACCAATGCCAATAGATGTACCTGTATATGTACCTGTACAAATTATTATATTATATCTTCATCTAAATGTCTGGGTGTGGATTGAGAGGGAGCTAATGTCCTATTGCAGTTGTCTGGTACATATTATGTTCGGGGGAAGGGGCAATTGACTTGATGTGAGGATAGGGGATAAATACGGACGAGGGAGTGGGAATCGGCAGGAATAATTAATATCCAAATTGGAATTCATCCCTTCTAAGATTTAAACAACGTACCACATACACACCCTGTCGCACGTATTTCATTGTACTGCACAAATATGCCTGTTATAAAATAGATGGCAAACGTGTATCCCTCATACAACACACGATCAGATCTTTCGTGAGCGGCGTAGACCTATACTCCCCGGAAAACGAAATGTATTATTTACAGAGAATAACAAACATTTGTAATTCAAGAGTGGAACTTCAAATTCTGACTAAGATACACATTAAAATAATTAACGAAACACTTTCTTGGTACTTTATCATTACAGATATA